GGAAGAGATCAACCAAAGAACTTGTATGCATATGTGCATAACCCATGGACACTGACAATGGAGTGGTGAAGGCCTGGGGCAGCGGTTCTCAACCTGTGGGTCGCGAACAATGAAAATACATCCTGCATATCAGATATTTACATTACGATTCATAACAGTAGCAAAATTACAGTTATGAAGTAGCAACAAAATAATTTATGGTTGGGGGTCACCACAACATGAGGAACTGTATTAGGAAGGTTGAGAACCACTGGCCTGGGGTATGGAGTGGGGGTGGGCTAGAAGAGGTCAATGGGAGGAAAGGGGGGGACATATGTAATAATTTCAACAATAAAGATTATAAAAAAGAAGAAGGGATGGATCATACTCAGAAGTTTCTATTCCAATCACCGGCTTCCATTGAGCCTAAGGAGTCCACCCAAATGTACATGGACCATCTGCCACTTAGTGGTCAGAACTTGGAGAGGCGGGAGTGGCCCGCCTAGGGCCTTTGATAAGAGATTTTAAGGGTGGCAGTCTCCTATGCATTCTTTTTTTTATTGCTTAAAGTATTACAAAGAGTATTACATAGGTCTCCTTTTTTTTTTCTCCCCTTGACATTCCCCCGGCCTCCCCTATCCCCCAGTGTCTTATGTCCATTGGTTATGTTTATATGCATGCATACAAGTCCTTCCCGCCCCCCAACCCTTCCCAACCTTCCCGCCATAGTTTGACAGTCTGTTCGATGCTGTTATGCATTCTTTACTGTTAGAAGTCAGCATCAAGACACCAGGCGTGCTAACTGGGTGCTTTTTCCTTGTTTTTCCTTTGCTTTCAGCTGGGCTTCGGATCTTTCTTAGGAATTATTGGCATCAACCTGGTGGAGAATCGAAGGCAAATGGTAAGAGAGTACATTGTTACTTTCAAATGGCAATACTTCATCTTTCTTTTTTTTTTTAGGCCGAATAGTATGGAACTGTTTTCTTAACCTCCTTTTTGGGGTTGTTTATTGCAAGTATATAAAAATACAAGTGGTTTTTCTATTTAGTCTTGTATCTGTGAGACCTAATACATGTTGAACTCATTTTTTAGGTCTCATAGTTTTTATTTTTAGTGGATTCCCTGGAATTTTCCATCTATAAGATTAGATCACCTGCAAATATAGATAGTTTTGCTTCTTTTTTCCACAGTCTGGATACTGGAAGTTCATTTCTATGGTTTTAGTAAAAGAAATGTGGGCCTTGGAATGGAAGGATGAAAATCTGGAATCGACAGCAGCTGCCAAAGCAGTGTGGGGGTCCAGCTCCCTAATTAGCTTCCCTGAACACCTGGCAAGTTAGGGCCCCCCGGTTCCTCAGAGCACAGCCTTCTGACTGGCGTTGTCTGCGATGCCTCCACAACCTCATTTCTGCCGTTTCAAGGAATGTTTCTTCCAAGGCTAACTTTGAATGATAAACACATATTTCACTGTCTAACACTTAATTTAATGGTTGTGAAAGCCGAAACCTGTGTCCATCACCAGTAGCGGCGTGATCTCGGGAAACTTACTTGGCAGACTTGCACCTCAGTGCCCGCATTCTCAGGGGTGCCTGGAGCATCTGAGCTGATGCACGGGAGGATATCTAGCACACGCTGGCCCATGGCAGGTGTTCAGAGACTAGTAGCCATTGTTGAATGCTGTGTTTAAGCACATCAGTTAGTCAGAGCAAGTTGTTTCAAAGAGAGACAATAGCAGGCTGAGAAAATGTCAGTGGAAGAGAGAATGCTTGTATTTCATATGCTCCTAAATATGAAGAATGCTTTATTTTTTCTTGATTAATTTTAATTTTTACTACAGAAAAATTTAAACAGATTCCAAACTAGACAGACTGGTAGAAGGAACCCCTCTGTACTCATCTCCCAACTTCATCAACTGTTGACTCAGGGCCAGTCTTGCGCCAGCTCCCACCCATTTCTTCCCTTCTCATGTTATTTTGAAACTAATCCCAGACATGGTCTCATTTCGTCTATAATGATATCATTACGTGGTATCATTTCACTCTGTTCAATCTAATCATTAGAAGTGGCTTCACCATTATCTCTGCCCATTATTATGTTAGTCTCCAGTGATATCTAAGGAATGCTCCAAACTGAGTCAGCTTTTGATACTTTTCCATTGATGAATGAGTTATTACTTTGTAGTCACCGAAACAGACACATGAATCATTGGTTTCACTAATAGTCCTGTAGCTTAGCATGGTCCCAAAGGCAGAGATGGAGAAGTTAAAGGCCTAAAAGTTTGTTAGTTGCTGATCTCCTCCCCACCATATGTGCATACACACACACACACGCACACGCACACACACAGGGATCTTCCTGGATTATAGTTTAAAAGCCACTGAACTAGAAGAACCAATAAGGACTAATAAGTAACTTACAGATGAAAAACATTTCCTGCGAAGGGTGAGGGCATCAGCCTTTGTCTGTCTGGTCTGGAGATACCATTTTTTCTCTTCCACTTTTGGTCTGTTGGGGAGGGGCTGAAGGACAAGGGACCCTGAGGGATACCTTCCCCTGAAGATGCTGCCACCTACACCTTCCAGAAGTTTGGTTAACTTCGGGAGAAGGGGGTAGGGGGAGTTGGGGTGAGGAGGGTGAATGGAGAAGCCACCGGAGTTGCCCACCTTTCCTGCCATCTGGCCACCTGGGGTGTGTGTGACAGAAACTAGATCTGGTTATAAGAAAACAGGTCAAGTTCCAGTATGTAAGCACCCGAGTGTTGGGGCTTTTGAGCGTGTGTACCTGCTACTGAGGAGGCTCAGCACTCTGATTACATGAGAACTATTCCTCTGGTGGCATCTGCCTTCTCCACGGACCACCAGGAGAAGTGAAGTTGGACCTCTGCCCTGCCACTTGCTGGGGTGACAGCCAGCCTCCATTCTACCCACACGGTCTTGGCCTCTGGACCCTGGTTCTTCTGTTCCTTCTAGTTTGAAGGATCCAGCCACCGGGGCTGTGGGCCATCCTGTCCCAGCATGCGGGGCTGGCTACGCAACTCAGAACATGTTTCGCTGCACTAACCTGGAGCTGCCCACGCTGCGGCTGTGAGTGTGTGCCGGGATGCGGCTCTCTGGCCAGCGGCTCCCTAGCAACCTGTTCTTTTCTTTTTTTTTTCTTTTCCTGCAAAAAGCTTTATTGTTTCATTTGGTCCAAGGCATGGGAGAGGGCTCCAGGGTGGTTAAAAGAATGACTAGTAGTTTTGCGAAGAGGCTCAGTTAAAAGCCAGGGACACCAGGGTGATGCAGAGGGGCCTCTGAAAGGCCTCTGGGCTCCAAAGGCTCCTGGTGGTGCTCAAGGATGAGCCTTTGGAAGAGATACTCCCCCAGCCTGGGGCCGGCAGCCTGCGGAGGTGAGTCAGGTGTTGCCCATCTTCTTGATCGGTTTCACCTCTGCATCCAGGAAGTGGTTCTCCAGGAAGTCACAGAGCCGAGGGTCTGCACAGGTAGAACCCAGGGCCTGCAGCTCCACAAGGGCCTGGTTCCGGTTCCTCTCCAAGGCCAGGGAGGCCTCCATGGCGTCCTGAGTTTTGGCCACTCATCTTGGGAAGGTTTCAGCACGTCCTGGGACAGAATGCGGCCACCACATTGCTTGTTTTGCAACTTTAAGAGATGCTCAGCGCCCTCGTGCTTCTTCTCTGACAACTCATGGAAGAAGTGGCCCACGCCCTCGAGAGCCACATCGTCACGGTTGAAGTAGTAGCCCAGAGAGAGGTAGGTGTGGAGGCCCGCAGATGCAGGTTGGCCAGGCGGTTGACCGCAGCCTTCCTGACGATTTGGGAGCTCATGGCTGTTCAGCATAAGGAGTTAAGGTAGGAAAAAAACCCGGTCTGTTGGCTGGTCCTGGAGGTGGTTTTGAAGGTGGTGACTGGATGAGACGAAGGAGAGTGGTCGGAGGCTAGAAGAAGGGGCGGCCCTGGGTCTGTTCCGTCCAGACACTGTTGAAGCAAGAGACCGATCCGGGACCGCAGAGGGCACTGCCAGCCTGTTCTTTTCTTGGTCTCCCCTTGACCGCGAGCTGCTCTGAAGCGATGTTGTCCTGCAGTCCAACTCAGAAGCAGCGAAGGTGGATGGGTGGCCGTGAGAGAGCGCCTCACTCTGTACTCCGCTGGTCCTGGAAGCAAACATCTCAGGATGCAGTGATTAGGTCTATCGTGGCACATGGGGAGAATTTATGTAGGGCCAGGTGCTCTGGATCTCTGTTTGTGCAGCCATGAGCTCACAAAAGTGCTCTGTTTGAAAGAAATGCCCGGAACTTTTATATTTACTCCTCTGTAAGCCATGTCCGTGGGAGGCCTGTTGGGAAAAATTAATCAATTTCCAGATGGATCCAAATATCTGCCTGTTAACAAAGGGCCCTGGGAATTTGCTGACGGAAAGCTACAACCAGGTCTGTTTTTGCTGCCGCTCCACCAGGCATACCATGCAACTACAGCCTTGATGTGCGCATGGGCATCTCTGGAGGGAAAATGAAACTATTGATTCCACCTCAAAGCTACTTTAACTGTCACCCCAGCAATAACCATCAATAACTGTCAATAACCATCAATATTGCATAGAGGACACTTGTTACCTCACAAGCGTTCCCCGAACACGGATGGTTGTCATCCATCCATTTCTTTCTTCAACCCACATTTACCAAGCGCACTCCATGTGCAAGGTGTCATGTTAGGCACCAGGCGGGGAATCATCTCACAGACCTCAGGCTTATGCCCAGAGCACCCGAGGGCACCATGGGAGGGCTGTGAGGGAGGACAGAGAAGAGGCAGTTGAGTTTGAGAAGGGCCCAGAAGGTTCCATTCCAAGGCTGGGAGGAGAAGGCGGAGCTGCTGGTGGATAAAGGCTGAAATGAGACCAGGAGAACCAATGGCACCGTGGCCCTGTCGGGAAGTCAATGTGGCGTTAACTCTGTCTGAACTCATCTCTCAAGCTCTTTCATCGCGTGATGTGCCGTGAGAGTACTTTCACCATATACGATGGAGGGGCTCCCTCCCCAATCCCAGGAGGGTTTCATGACCCCACTGGCATATTTTCCTGTATATCATCTCCTCCTCTTCGACCTTGACCCTCATTATCTCTTCAAATGTCAGCTGAAATCCTCCTTTGCTCCATTCCCTATCTCCCTTCACCTGTTTTTCTCTGTGATTATAGACAAGATCCTGCTGCAGGCAACTGATCATCGCAAAGATGTCATCTCTATGTCCTATAAGAATAATACTTAGTAGATTTGATAAGAACAAATTCCCATGACAAATTATCCCAAGGAACATATAGGAGTGTTTGGTCTCCTCTCAGGTAATGAAAACCCTCCATCTTATTCTACAAGACAGGTTCTATCTTTGACATGTGTGTCTGTTCGGAAGAGGGGGAGGGTGGGGAAGACAAGAGGAGGGCCACTTTCAGCTTCACCTTAAGCAGAGTCGAGCAGAGCCTTTGCTTTATTCCTGTTAGGATTTTTACTTACAGGCTCAGGTCACCAAAGCCACCTCCTGGGAGAGTCTGGAGAGGTCAGGCTGTCCTCCTCCTCGTCTCTGGGTGCTGAGGGAAGGAATAAACACTTAATGAGTGCCACTCCTTGCCAAGCTCCTGCTAGCTGAGCTGTCTCCCTCTCTTGTCTCTCCCTCTCTGTCTCTGTCTGTCTCTGTCTCTCTCTACCTGTCTGGAATGCTCTATCCTCCACCTCCACCTTCTTCTACTTAATTAACACCAGTTCCTCCTTCATATCTCAGCAAAAATGCCATGTCCTCAGGAAAGCTCCCCTAACCTCCGGGATTCATACCTTTATGACATTTATCCGTCCTAGCACTTACCTGTTTATAATGACATGTTCCCTGAGAGGCCAATCTAGTGTTCTCACCGCCACACA